TTCCTGCTGGCCTTCAAAGTCAAGTCTCAGTCAGTTACAGCCAGCTCTGAAAATTAGTTCTCTCATCTAAAACACAACCAGATTTTTTCACAGCCAGAAAGGAGATTTATTCATAAAAGCAGTTGTTATTTCCCTTAACACGTCTTTGTCACTTGACCAAATTTACCAAACTGTGTGAGTTCCCTATGCTGGAAACGGGCCTGTTTTTCCTCCTGTCTTGGAGCGCCTTCCTGTCTGCCGAGGCCGCTGGCCTAACAGGTCAGTGTTTCGTCCAGCGCAGCAAACTGGATGTGTGAACACATGTGTTCCCCGCACCTCTCCCCATGCCCCGCTCCCTGACCCAGCCGGAGGTGAAATGGAGGCCCTTTTCTATAGGTTTGTGTCAGAATCAGCCTCTCCTGGGCACCCTGGGGAGAAGAAAAAATATCAGCCATTTATCCAACAGCTCAACTGAAAGTCTCCAAACTGCCGTTTTCTCTCCTCTCCTTGCTGGTCAGGAAGGGGATGTTGAAATCTATGAATGAATGACTGGTATACTGAGGTGATGGATAACTTTACAAATAGGAGTCTCTGCTCAGAGTGTGAAGGGATGCACAGCCGCTTTGTGGGAAAGGGTGGTGACTTTCCATTGGCTGTTAACAGCAACGCCCACGTAGGCAGCCTCTCCTGGTGTGCTCATCTCCACACACAGGCCGTGTTTAAAAATCTTTGCATACGCTCCATGGCAGGCCAGAAAACAAGGAGCTAACTTGGTGGCTTCACGGTTTAATTAATGTCTCTTACTGTAGAAAGTCTGTATGTAGAGTCCTCTGAGATGGAGCAGTTGATAGAGAGAGAGGCAGTCCCTAAGGTCCCAGGTGCCACGCATCCCGTATCTGGGTTCGGCAATTTGATTGCCTTTCTGCAACCGCGAGGGTTTGCGCTTGGCTAGCTGCAACGATTGGGTACTTTTCCATGTAGAAGAATCACTGTGGCTCTGAGCAAAATTTCAAAGCTGTTTCTCTCCTTTGGCTTAGTTCCTTGCTTCTCCTGGGTTTCAGTCCTGGATCCCTTGCTGCTCACTACATCTTAATTGACTTTCAAGTGAGACTCCCCCGCCCCCCTCCAAAGTACTAGCTGGGAATAAGGTATGCCTCCCTGGGTACTTGCATTTTAAAAGGTGGTACTTAAAGTGTAAATAATAATAAAAGTTGATATATAGTGAAAGCATACCATGAGCCAGGTGCTGGCTAACTGCCTTTCATGGATTTTCTCATTCATTTACAGAAGGACCCAAAGTTAGGGACTATGCCCAGTTTACTCAGCCAACAGTAAGTGGTGGAGCTGGGATTTCAAATAAGGAGATCTGATTCTAGAGCCTGGGCTCATGGGTACCAAGCATTGCTACCTTGAATGAAATTCTATCTATAGAATATGAGGCAGGCCCCCAGGAGTAGGAAGATATTTGGGGCCCCAGAAGCCTGCCTCGTCCATTTGCTTCTAGGCTGGTTTGGCCTCTCCTGTGAAAGCCATGGCAAATCTTTTTTGTAATGATAATCTGTTGCTCTGGGCAGCTGACCCACCTTACTTCGTAGCCATGGGAACCAAGCTATTTCCACAGGCTCTGAGGGTGTCTGTTGCTGATACAGACAGCCACCTGCCAGTTATTATGACACTATAATCAAGACTGCATTAACAGAGTCCACCCTACCAGGCCCAGTATCATTCCAAACCATTCTAACACAACATCCATTATATTAGAGCCTTACCGTGTTATTAGAAAGGTTGCTAAAGAGCTTATGCATTACAAAGAAAAAGGATACTGGCGTCTCTTAAATGAAATAATGGAGGAAACAATTTACATACGTCATTCGGAAAATTGTGGTTCCCTTTCCTCCACATTCTATGCCCTTTTCAGCACTTACCATATTGTAAAATGATGTAAGTAATGTTAACAATAAGAATACATATTTGACCTTCTGGAAAGGTAAAGAAGTACCTTAACTCACCTGATAGTTTTTAGTCTACTGTTGATCATTGTAATAAACACACACACACACACACACACACACACACACACACACTTATGCGCACACATCCCAATGCTTAAGATTGTTTCTGTTTGTGAAGATTGTCTATTTCCTGATCCAATTCAGCAATATCTTGTTTTCTTAAATGTTTTTAAGGTTATGGTCCACGTATAAACTCTTAGTTTATCTGTGCCTTGCGCTTTTGCTATGCTTTTGACCTGATATCCTTATTGGATACCATGCAGATCACTTCTAAGGAGCCAGCATCATGGGGTGGGTGGATGCATGTGTGAGCCTTGGTAGCAGAAAGACCCAAATGTCCACGTCTGCACCCAGGGGAGCGCTCATCCAGAACAGTACTCCAGATTAAGCAACATGACTGAAAGGCATTTGATACAAATCAAACTTTAGGTGTGAGCATTTTGTACTGCCGAAGACCAAGCCTGCTAAGTCCAAATTACTTATGTGTTTGTTTGTTTATTATTTAATCCTTACCTATTTCTAAATTGGCTTTGAGACAACTCATAACCTGAGCCATGCATATCATGGGACCATTTAGTTGAGGCTAGACACTCAAGTGCTTTGGGATAGAGTTTTTCTGCAGTGAGGCAGCTGTTCATTGCTGTGGTTTGGCAATAAATATAGCTCTGAGCTTTCTGGCAGCCAAAGCCAAAAGGGAAACATGATGAGTTATATAGGAATAATAGAGTACTATAAAAGGAAGTCACAATTATTTATAAAAATGGGCAACCTTTTTTTTTTTTTTTTTTTTTTTTTTTTTTTTGGGCAACCTTTTTTTTCTAAAACTTTAGGGGAATTTATCACGCGCATCTTTATGTAAGGGCCTTTGAGCACCATAACAGACAATGTATTGTTTTAGGGAAGATGGAGATCCATTCTTCATGTAATCATTTCTCATATCAACCTTCAATAAAATCTGATGGTGTGGAATTAAATTATATTCTCTGAGGATATTTCATGCAGTAAGAAAATCTTTTTATCTCTAATCCACAAGTAAACTAATATAACGCAAAGCTAAAATCTAGAAAAATTTTCAGAAAGTGCTTAATGAATGAACATATGACAATGAATGTAGTGAACTAAATGAAATGAGCTATTAAATAGTTTATGAGTAACTGTAGTGGTAACCAGCCATCCTGGGGCCGTGTATGGGTTCACTGAGAGCAAATCATGGAGGACCTAGAAATGGTGTTTACACACAATGGGTTCTCAGCAGAATTCCCCCAGCCCTGACACTGCTAGGTGAGGGCTCAAGGGTGCCCATCAAGGGAACAGGCCTCTAGGCCTGCCACCCGTGCTTCACCCCTCTTATTGGTTCCATAGATTGGGTTTTCACCTAAGATTTCATTTAAAAAAGAAGGATTTCTGTTGCTTTAAACAAAATATATCTGTTTTAAGAATATATTTTTCATTTTTTCTTACTACCAAGGTAAGGCATATACATTGTAGAAAATTTGGAAAATGTAGATTTACAGAAGGAAATAAAATTAGAGTTACCTGTATTCTCACTGCCTATTAATAACTATTGTTAGTATTTGTCTGAATTGATCTAATTATATGCAAATACATATACATAATTAAATATATACATGCATACATATATGTAATTACATTTTTATTTTTAAGTAACTCGCTTTTTTTCACTTAACAATTTGTAGTGAATGTTTTTCATGGCATTAAATATTCTTCTATATTATTATTTTTAATTGCTGCCTAGTACTATATCATATTAACTTGCCATAATTTATTATACCAACCTTTTGATTGTTTATAGTTTTCAACATTGTTAATATGATTGCAATGGTAATCCTTATAGCTTGATGTATGAACTTCTATTTATATAACTGACTAAAAATAAAATTCCTGGGTTAATAAGAATGCTAACATTTTAATGTCTTGGAAAAATTTATCCAAGTTATCCTCCAGAAAATTTGCATTCCTTTATACTTTCACCAACGATGTAAGAGAGAGCTCATTCACTCACATCTTCGTCACCCGAACTCATATTCATCCCTGCTAATTTGATAATCAAGTTCCATCTTATTCTGATTTAAATTCATTATATTTTTACTGAGGAAATCATTTTAATTATATGTCATTGGCAATTTGTATTTCTCCCTTGGTGAACTACCTGTTTATGACCTTTGTCCTTTTTTCCTATTGAAGTGCTTATTTTTGTCACGTTAAATTTTAGAAGCTCTTTATCTATTAAAAAATATTAACCTTTTGACTGTCATGTAGGCTATAGATATTTTCCAATTCACGGCTTTACCTTTTAAATATGTTATGCTTTATTTGTTTATGTAAGGGAAAGGTTGGTATAGACATTTTCAAGTTTCATGTGGTTAATTTTATCTCTTCCTTCGAAAGCCCAAGATTTTATTGATTTCTACTTATAAAGCCCACTGTTATTAATAATAAGGTATACGTTTTTTAAATATTCGTCTGGTTTTATTTTTGCATTGGAATCCATCTGGAATTTGTCTTGCTATGAGGTGCGAGATATAGTAGGGATTTGATTTTCTTCCTAGATTGTTTTTCACTCATCCTAACACCCTTCAAACTTAACCTATGAATTTACAATATAATGTCCATGTATGTAGGTACATGTATGTGTATATATGTTCTGGGCTTTCTGTTGTTCCACTGAGCTCTTGGTCTTTACTATTTTCATCATTTCAACTCCATGCTTCCTTTTAATAGCTCCATTTTAATAGATCCATTTCTCATCCCCCTTCCCCAATTTCAAGAGATTCTTTGCTATACTCACATATTTATATTCCAGAATGACTTAAAATAACTTTCTTATGTTTCAAGCAGAAAATAACTTTAGGATTATGATTGGGGTTGTATTAAATTTTTAGATTAATTTGATGAGGAATGGTGTTTTTACAGTGTTGAGTCTTCCCACAGAGGAATATGTTATGTCTCTCCATTTATTCAACTCATCTTTTATGGCCCTTAGTAAATTTTTATAGGTGTCTTCACATTAGACCTACAAATTTCTTGTTAAGTACTTTTTAAGCTATTTTATATTTTGGCATACTATGATGAATGCAAACGTCTTCCATTATAATTTCTGGAAGGCTATTGTTTGTTTATGTGCATCTAGACCTCACCATACTATTTGATTTACTCTCCGCAGTTCTGAAATATAGAACCATAGCTGGTGTGTAGAATTTGGATTGATGGGCCAAAATTATATTAGACTATGAGGTTTGTGAGGAC